AATACAAATACAACTTACTGGGATCTGTGGGGCACAATGAAAGCTGTCCTCAGAGCAAAATTTATTGCATTGACTTCCCACATCAGGATAACAGAACGTATACAAATAAATAACCTGACATTACACATTAGACATCTAGAAAAAGAAGAACAAGTCAAGCCCAAAGCCAAAAGAAGAGAGGAAGTTATAAAAATCAGAGCAGAAATCAATGCAATAGAGACTAAGAAAACAATCCAAATAATCAAGAAAGAATAAATAAAATTGATAAACCCCCCAGCCAACCTTATATAAAAAGGGAAGAAAAATCTCAAATTCATGCAATAAGAAATGAAAAAGGTGAAATCACTACAGACTCTAGAAATATAGCAGATCATCAACACCTATTTCGAAAACCTCTACTCTCAAAGGCTTGATAACACAGAAGACATAGACAGATTCCTCGAAAAATATGAAGTACCAAAGCTAGGTCAAGAAGATGTAAAACAGCTGAATAATCCAATTCCTATTAATAAAATTGACAATGCAATTAAGTCCTTACCTACAAAGAAGAGCCCAGGCCCAGACGGATTCACTGCAGAATTCTATAAGAAAAGCAAAGAAGACTTAATGCCCACACTCCTCAAACTCTTTAATGAAATTGAAAGGGTAGCAATCTTTCCTAAGTCATTCCTGGAAGCAAATATTACTCTAGTACTAAAACCTGAGAAAGACCGAAATAAAAAAGAGAACTATGGGCCAATCTCCCTAAAGAAAACAGATGCAAAAATCCTCAATAAAATATTTGCAAATAGGATGCAGAAAATCATCATACACCATGACCAAGTGGGATTCATCCCAGGCATGCAGGGATGGCCCAACATATGTAAATCAATAAATGTTATCCACTATATCAATAAAGGTAAAAGTAAGAATCACATATCATTTCTATAGATGCAGAAAAAGCCTTTGATAAGGTCCAGCATTCATTTATGATAAGAACTTTACAGAAAATTGGAATAGATGGTCACTACCTCAATATAATAAGGCCATCTATGAAAAACCAACAGCCAGTAACATATTAAATGGCCAAAAATCAAAGGCCTTTACTTTAAAATCAGGCACAAGACAAAGATGTTCCTTATCACTGTTCCTATATAGTATAGTACTGGAAATACTAGCCAGAGCAATTAGACAAGAGAGAGAAATAAAAGGGGTAAAGATAGGAAACGAAGAAGTTAAATTACCATTGTTTGCAGATGACATGATACTCTACATAGAAGACCCCCAAAATCCATTGAAAGACTCTTAGATATAATTAATTGAGCAATGTAGCTGGATACAAAATCAATACCCAAAAATCAATAGCATTCCTATACACTAACAACAAAATCACTGACAGAGAAATAAGTGAAGCCATGCCCTTCACACTAGCAACCAAAAAAATGAAATATTTAGGAATTACTCTCACGAAAGAAGTGAAAGACTCTTACAGGGAAAATTACAATACACTGAAAAAAGAAATTGAAGATAATCTCAGAAATTGGAAAGACATCCCTTGCTCATGGATAGGAAGAATAAATATTGTTAAAATGGTCATTTTCCAAAAACTATTATACAGATTCATGCAACCCCAATAAAAATACCATCAACATACCTCATAGATCTGGAAAAATCACTCCTAAAATTCATCTGGAGCAAGAAAAGAACTACAATGGCAAAAGACAGTTCTACACATCAAAGGAAAGGCAGGAGGTATCACAATCCCTGACTTGAAGTTATACTACAAAGCAACTGTAATAAAATCAACATGGTACTGGAATCAAAACAGAGCTGAATATCAATGGAATAGATTAGAAGATACAACCACAACTACAAACACACTCAACCACCTTATCTTTGATAAAGGGGCCAAACATGTTCACTGGAAGAACAACAGTATCTTTAATAAATAGTGTTGGAAAAACTGGCTCTCCATATGCTGAAACCTAAAACTAGATCCATGCCTATCACCATGTATTAAATTAAAATCTAAACAGATCAAAGATCTGAATATTAAAACTTGAATACTAAATCTAATGGGAGACAAATGGGTAAAAACCTTGAAGACCTAGGGGTAGGTAGAGAATTCATGAACAGGACTCAAACTGAATGGGAAATACTTCCTAAGATCAATAACTGGGATCACCTCTTATTAAAATGTTTCTGCATGTCAAAAGAAATCTCCAGCATAGTGAAAATAAAACCCACAAACTGGGAAAAAATCATACTGAACTTTCCCTCAGACAAAGGATTTCTGTCTAAAACATATGAAGAATTAAAAAAAAATCAGATTTACCAAATTCAAAGATCCAATCCAAAAATAGACATCTGAGATGAATACACACTTCTCAGATGAAGAAATACAAATGGCAAATGAAAATGATGATGAAAAATTGTTCATCATCATTACTCATTAGAGAAATGCAAATTAAAACCACACTGAAATTCCATCTCACTCCTGAAAGAATGACCAGGATCAAGAAAACCATCAACAGCAAATGCTGGAGAGGCTGTGGGGAAAAAGGAACTCTCCTGCACTGTTCGTGGGAGAGTAGACTAGTGCAACCATTGTGGAGGTCAGTCTGGAGATTTCTCAAAAACTGGAAGCCCCGTTTGTTCCAGGTATCCTAATATCCTCTGGGTATATTCCCAGAGGAACTGAAAGTATCATACCACAGTGATATATGTGCACACATATTTATAACAGCACAATTTGTAATTGCCAGATCTTGGAAACAACCTAAGTGTCCATCAACTGAGGAGTGGATAAAAAAGTTGTGGTATTTTTATACAATGGATTATTACTCAGCTATAAAGAAGGATCACATTGAGGTATTTATAAATAAATGGATGCAGCTTGAGACCATACTCATAAGTGAAATAAATCAAACTCACATGTTTGAATACCAAATAGTTTCCCTATTGTAAGAAATGATTCAAATATATAAAAGTATGTGGTAATCATGACTCCCCATTATGTGGCTTTGAAGCCTTACAAATTTTTCACTCATTAATTGGAATGGTTTTATTCTGGGATATTTGATATTATTGTCTGTGATGATATGAACAGCTATTCTGAAGAAAACAAGACATCATAATAGCTAGTGCTGATTTAATATCACCTTGTTTTGAAGTCCCATCAAACTGTTGTTCTTCTGTCTCCATTGCTTTTATCATCTTGTATCTTATTGGATTTTATTATTTGTGATAGTACAAACAAAAATTTTTTATAGGCAAAGAGATAATATAGAAACCATTGTTCATTTTCTGTTAGCTGGTTCTAAATACCTTGTAATACTTTCAACCCCTTGAATGGTTTCACACTGTCTTGATATTTTTGATGCTATAGTATACGAAGTCACATTCAAATATTTCAAGGAAAGAGACACTATGGCAACTACTTTTAAGTTGGGTTATCTTGTGTTAAAACATTATGTTGCTGAAATTGTACTGTTCTTACCTGTATTGTTATGTTGTTATGTCCTCTTTTATCTCAATCTCCTGCCCCCATTTAAAAAAATATTTATTTTTATTATGTTTTTAATTAAGGGGAAATTTTTAAAATTTTAGCAGAATATATTGTAGTAACTTTTTTGATTTCCTATTAACTTGATTTGAAGCCCTGAATTGCTCTCACCATCTTGTTTTACTGATTTTACTCTATTCTGTTCTGTTTGATATTATCAATTTTGAGGGTATAGGCAACTACTTTGAAGGTAATAAGATTCACTATGATGCCCATTCTGGTGTGACTATTATCTTCTTTTGAAGTCCTGTAATGTTTCCAATGTTTAGGTTTTATTGGTCTTGTTCTGTACTGTTTTGTTCAATTTTATTATACCCGATGATATAGGCAATTCTTTTTAAGGTAGCAAGAGGCATTATGGTAACCATTGTTGATTACCTTGTATTCTGTTTTTACATCATGTATTGTGTCCATCCTTTGTTTTGACTGACTGTTTTGTTTTGTCACATTTGATTTTATTCTCTTCCGAAAAATATTAATAAGAACTGTGGGAGTAATAAAACCCAAAATGTGTAAATGCTATTGTAAAAAAGAGAGAGAAAGAAAGTGCTCTAAAGGACACAACTTAAGTGTGTTTAGGTGTGTAAGATAGATGACCATATTACTAAGTTTTTGTTGGATCATTGAGCACTACTGTTTGCAGTCTCACTGTTTGAATGTGCACTTTGTAGGCTTAATTTTGTAACATGATCAACTATTTCTAAGATAATAAAATGTAATCTATTAACTAGTGATTTATTACTTTTTTTGTAATTCTGTATTACTTGTGCCCTTTTACTGTTTTGTTTTGTTTTGTTTTCTTTAAATAAAAAAATAGCACAGTAACAAACAAACAAAAAAATCAGTGGAGACACTGATGTGACGAATTGAGTATCATTTGTGAACAAGTGGGATATTCAATTTTTATGTTTTTAAAAACCAATATTCAAACTGGTGGAATGGAAAGTCAGTTCAAATAATTAATGTAAGCCTGTTTTGATTCCTATTCTCACTGATTTAGCTGGATTTATAGATTAGCTTCCACTGCTTAATCATTTTACTGTCAAAAATTAATTATTTTTTCTTAAAACTAAAGAAAACTGATTCTGCCTGACTTACTTCAAAATATAAAGGGACCTAAAGTTACTTTAATAAATAATAATCATTATAATTAATATTGGTCGTTTTTCTTTTTTCCTTTTTATAAAAGAAATATATATTCTGCTTTATAAGTTATACTATAAACTGCATTATAACTTATTGTTTTGTATTTTAGTATCATAAAGTATCAAAAGGATCACTGAAGTTTTTTATTAATGATTACCGAGCAATTCTTTTGTTAGTCAGCCTAGGTTTTTTTTTTTTTTTTTTTTTTGTCAATTTAGAGAAATCTTGAACCAGCCGAGTACAACTCTATTAGGAATCCTGATGTCACCAAATGACACCAAGTAATGCTAGATGCCAATCAATTACTTACACAGCCATCTTCTGGTAACCACTACTGTTGGCCATCATCATCCAGTGCCAGCTTATGGTGGACACGTCAGGTTGACTCTACCAGGTGCTGGTTCTCTGCTGCTGCCACTCACTACATTCTGGTGCCAGACTGTGCTGGATACCACAGGTGAATTCTGCCCAGCACTTGTCACTTCCAGGCAGAACTTCTTGATGTTAAAAGCTCTGAGTTTTGAAGTCAACCACTCTGTGCATATCTGAAAAATAACCATAAGCAGGTCAAGGAACACTAAAGAAGGACTTCTAATAGGTTTTATGCTACAGAATGGGTTGGGGTAGAGAACCAGGAAGGTGCCTTCCCAGAAGTGCCTGGGAAGTGCTGTACATGTAGCAGTTTCTAGGTGTGTTTCAGTGGGTATGAGAGCTCAAGCCTAGGAATCTTATAGAAAGCTTACCTTGAATATTGGGTATACAGCTTTCAATCTGGGGAGCTGAGGCTGCACGAGGTGAGTTCCAGCACACCGGAGTGGGCCCAGGGAGAGTTTAAGATCACGGCAACTACCAGTTAAGTGCTGGCCCAGCTTCCAGCCACACTTGACTAGGCTATGCAGGCTTCACTGGGTCTAACTGGGCCACACCCAGGAATGTTCTCTCAATCCAGGGAGCTGAAGCTGCACAAGGTGAGTTCCAATGCACTGGCCCCAGCTCAGGGAGAGTCTAAGATCATCGCTCCAATTGGTTAAATGCCTACCCAACTCCCAGACACACTGGACTAGGCTCGGGAAGTTTCAGGCTTGACTAGACCATGCCAAGAGACCTTTGTTCAAGAAGGGGAGCGGAGGGCACCTGAGGTGAGTTCCAGCACATCAGCGCTAGCCCAGGGAGAGCTTTGGACCAACACTCACAGTGATTAGGAGCCTGCCAAGCTTCCTGGAACACAGGAGGTGGCACGAGAGATCCTGCGGGCCTGACTGTACCATGCTCAGCAACCTCCAGTCCCAGGAGTCAAGGACAAGGGAGACGATTTGCAACAGCCCAGGGGAAGATTTGGAATATCACTTAAAACAGAGAAATACAGGAAAATGACAAGACGAAAGACCAAAATGCAATCTCAAACCTCCATCCATCTTAGGAAAGCTTGGGAGCCATATACACAGAGAATAAATAAGCCATACACTTGAAATACCTGAAATAATAGCAACTGAAATAAAGAACCAACTCCAGGAGACTTTAAAGGAATTCAAATTAGAAATAATCTCCCAGTTAAAGAAGAAATGGTAAAAGTAATGAAAGAAATGCTGAACACATCTAAAGAAGACACAGTTAAAGAATTAGAGGAACAATGCAAAAAGATAGAATATCTGATGAACAATATAAAAAATAAACAGAACACCTGAAGCAGATTCAAAGGGATATACAAGAAATCAAAAATTCCATCAAAAGTTTCAAAATTGACTCAATGAAAATGAAGATAGAATTTCAGACAAGATTGCAGCTAGTGAACAAGAAAGAAAAGTTCTTTTAAAACTAATAAGGAATCAGGAAATAACAATTCAACAGCTGCAAGATGATGCAAAAAAGATTACATGATTGGTAGAGATAAATGTAAAAGAAGGGGATAACACAAATGATATTAAGAGGCTATTATAGATGAAATAACTGAAAATTTCCCAAACATGAGAATGGAAACTGACATACGGATTAGTGAAGGATGTAGAACTCCAAAAAATCATAACCAAAATAAAATTATACCCAGGCATATATTAATCAACATCCCAGAAATCCAACATAAGAATAGAGTATTAAAAGCTGTTAGAGAGAAAAGACAGAACAACTATAAAGGAAAACTTATCAGCAGACTTCTCAGCACAAACAATAAAGTCAAGAAAAGCATGGAGTGAAGTATTTCAGATCCTAAAGGAAAATGACTTCCAACCTCGACTGATGTACTCTGCAAGACTGTCCTTCAAATTGTTGGAGAAATAAGATACTTCCATGACAAAGAATAGCTGAAGAACTTCATGATCACCAAACCACCCCGCAAAGAATACTGAAAGATAGTTTAGATACACATAGGAAAAAACAACTAAGCAAGACAGACAGTTAGACAGAGTGGAAACATAAAGATACAACAGCAGAAAGATAACGTAAACAATAAACCAACATATAACAGTTATAACCTTTAACAAAATGGTCTCAATTCACAAATTAAAAGAAACAGAGTGGCAGAATGGATCAAGAAACAACATCCAACCATATGCTACTACAAGAAACCCATTTATCCCAAAAGGAAACTCATAGACTGAAAATTATAGGATAGAAAATAGTATTTCATGTAATAGGAATCCCCCCAAAAAGCAGGGGTAGCTATTCTGTTTGCAGACAATGTGAATTTCAAACCAAGAATGATCCAAAGAGATAAAAAGGTCACTATATACTAGTTAGAGGAAAACATCAAGTGGAGAAATAACAATCTTAAATATATATTCACAAATATATCATATACCCAGCTATACAAAACAAGTATTAACAAAATAAAAAATCAAATAAACAGAAAAACAATTATAACAGGAGACATTAATACACAAAGGGACAGATCAACCAGACAGAAAATCAGCAAAGAAATAACAGAACTGAATCACACTTGTGAGCAAATGGATATGATAAATGTATACAGAGTGTTTCATTCAACAACATCAGAATACACATTCTTCTCAGCAGCACCCTCTAAAAAAGACCATATACTAGCCCACATAATATATTTAAGTAAATGCAAAAGAATTGAAATTATCCCATTCATGTTATAGAGTCATAGCAGCACGAAACTAGAGATTAATGATAAAAGAAACTGCAAAACCCCCACAAACACATGGAAATTGAATAATTCACTTGAGCAATCAGTGGTTCACAGAGGAAATTAAAATGAAATTAAATAATTCCTACAAGCCAAAAAAAAAAAATACAACTTACCAGAATCTGTGGGTTGCAATGAAAGCGGTCCTCAGGGGAAAATTATTGCACTGAGTTCCCACGTCAGGAAAAGAGAATGAACATAAATAAGCAGCCTGATGCTACACCTCAAACATCAAGAAAAAGAAGAGCAAGTCAAATCCAAAGCCAAAAGAAGGAAGGAAACTGTAAAAATAGGAGCAGAAATTAAAGGAATAGGGACTAAGAAAATGAATCAATAAATCAAAGTGTTGGTTCTTTGAAAGAATAAATAAAATTGATAAGCCCCTAGCCAAGCTTATTTTAAAAAGGAATGAAAAACCTCAAATTCATGCAGTAAGGAATGATAAAGGTGAAATCACTACAGACTGTAGAAATATAGAAGATCATCAACACCTATTTCAAAAACTTCTACTCTCACAGCTTCAATAACATAGAAGAAATGGACAGATTCCTAGAAACATACAAACTTCCAAAGCTGGGTCAAGAAGATGTAAAACTGCTGAATAATCCCATGTCTATTAATGAAACTGAAAATGTAATTTTAAGTCCCTACCTACAAAGAAGCACCCAGGCCCAGAAAGATTAACTGTAGTATTCTACAAGCAATACAAAGAAGACTTATTGCTGACACTCCTCAAACTCTTCAATGAAATAAAAAGGGAGGCAATTATTTTCTAAGTCATTCCTGGAAGTAAATATTACTCTAGGACCAAAACCTCAGAAAGACCCAACTAAAAAAGAGAACCACAGACCAATATCCCTCATAAACATAGACGGAAAAATTCTCAATAAAATATTGGCAAACAGGATCCAGCAAATTATCAAGACTATACACCATGACCAAGTGGGATTCATACCAGGTTTGCAGGATGTTTCAACATATGTAAATCAATAAATGTTAATCAACTATATCAATAGAACCAAAATAAGAATCACATGATCATTTCTATAGATGGCAGAAAAAGCTTTGATAAGGTGCAACACTCATTCATGATAAGAACCTTACAGAAAATTGGAATAGATGGTCTTTACTTCAATATGATAAAGGTCAGCTATGACAAACCAACAGCCAGCATCATATTAAATGACCAAAAACTGAAAGCTTTTACCTTAAAATTAGGCAAAAGACAAGATTGTCCCTTTTCACCACTCCTATTCAACATAGTACTGGAAATACTAGCCATAGCAATTAGACAAGAGAGAGAAATAAAAGGAGTAAGGATAGGAAAAGATGAAGTTAAATTATGATTATTGCAGAAGACATGATATTCTACATAAAGGCCCCCAAAACTCCATTGAAAGACTCCTAGGTATGATATAAGTCTCCACTGAAAGACTCCTAGGTATGATATATGATAGATATAGCTGGATTTGAAGTCAATATTCAAAAATCAATAGCATTCCTATACACTAACAACAAAATCACAAAGAGAGAAATAAGACAAGCCACATACTTCACACTGCATCAAAAAAATGAAAAACTTAGGAATTAATCTCACAAAAGAAGTAAAAGAAAATTTTACTACTCTGAAAAAGAAATCAAACAGGATCTCAGAAAACGGAAAGGTATCCTTTGTTCATGGATAGAAAAAATAAATATTGTGAAAATGGCCATTCTCCCAACTCTGTTATACAGATTCAATGCAATCCTAATAAAATACCATAAGCATACCTCATAGATCTAGAGAAATCACTCCTAAAATTCATCTGGAATGAGGAGAGACATAGAATACCACAGAAAATTCTAAGCCGCAAAGGCAAGGCAGGAGGTATCGCGGTCCCTGACTTGAAGTTATACTACAAAACAACTGTAGTAAAATCAACATGGTCCTGGAATCAAAACAGAGCTGAAGATCAATGGAACAGATTAGAAGATACAATCACAACTACAAACACACACAATCACCTTATCTTTGATTAAGGGGCCAAAAATGCTCCCTGATGAACCATAGACTCTTTAATAAATGGTTCTGGAAAAACTGGCTCTCCATATGCCGAAAACTAAAACTAGATCCATGACTATCACCATGTACTAAACTAAAATCTAAATGGATCAAAGATCTAAATATTAAAACAGAAACACTAAATATGTTGGAAGATAAAGTCGGTAAAAATCTTGAAGACAATGGGTAGGTAGAGAATTCATGAACAGGATCAAACCACATGGGAAATACTTCCCAGAATCAATAACTGGGATCAGGTCTTATTAAAGAGTTTCTCCATGTCAAAAGAAATCTCCAGCATAGCGAAAATAAAACCCACAATTGGGAAAAATCTTAGTAAACTGTCCCTCAGACAAAGGACTTCTGTCTAAAACATATAAAGAATTTTTTAAAAAATCAGACCCCCAAATTTCAAAGACCGAATCCAAAAATGGGCATCTGAGATGAATACACACTTCTCAGAAGAAGAAATACAAATGGTGAATAAATACATGAAAAATGTTCATCATCATTAGTGTCATTAGAAAAATGCAAATTAAACAACATTTCTGCTCCATCTCATTCCTGAAAGAATGGCCAGGATCAAGAAAACTACCAACAACAAATACTCCTGCATTGTTGGTAGGAGTGTACATTGGTGCAACCATTTTGGAGGTCAGTCTGGAGATTTCTCAAAAAGCTGGGATTTGAAGTCCCATTTGTTCCAGCTATTCTGTTTCTAGGCATATTCCCAAAAGAACTGAAAACATCATACCACAGTAATAGATGTGTACCTATGTTTACAGCAGCACAATTTTTAATAGCCAGATCTCTGGAAACAA